GCATGATAGGCCAGATAAGACGGCTTGATGAGCCATGCCTGGCTCCTCGGGTCGTAGTTTGACAACGGCTGGTATATAACGTATGTTTATAAGCAGCTCTCACGCAGATGAATGGACAAACGCGGACTCACCTTTGCTAACGTCTTCACGCTGCTGCTCGTCCGGTTGCTGGCGTTCTCTTCTCTTGACGAGAGACTGAACCGCACACAGCACTGTGTTGATGTTTGTCTCCAGCTGAGCGGAGAAGTCGGCGCAGAAGGCAGACTGGGGCTCTGAGCCATGGGGAAAGGCAGAGAATACGACAGATGAGAATTCAGGTCAAGTGTTTTGGTCACGAGCTTTACGAAAAATAAAATACTTCAATAATAATTCAGAATATAAAGTAAAATACGACTCTCTTTAAAATGTATTTTTATTTACCCAAACCTTTCCATACCAGGTCCCCCCAAACTTAGCATTAGCTTCGAGCCGCGGACCCCCCTTTACGAACCCACGGGCAATGCTACAAAATACTTAAAGAAACCTTTAGAATCTATTGTCTTATTTTTTTTACTACTCAGTAATTATAACATTGGTTTAGCATAAGAAAATGATTAATGAATTATTAACTAATCTAAGTAATTAACTAATATACATGCTAGCTTGAGGAGCATAGCAGCTAGATAGCTAGCTAGATAGATAGCTAAATAGATAGCTAGATAGCTAGATAGATAGCTACTGTAGATAGCTAGCTAGACAGATAGCTACTGTAGATAGCTAGCTAGACAGCTAGCTAGCTAGCTAAATAGAGAGCTAGATAGATAGCTAGCTAGCTAGCTTCCATAATTTATCGCAAACATAACAGGCAGAAACTACCAGGTCTACCGTAGTCATGCCGAAGTTGCAGCTGTTACATAATCACGTATTACCGGAAAGTTGAGAATCCGATGATTACAGTAGTATACATGTTGTTAATTAAAATAAATAATATATGAAGTATTTTCTGACGTTCCCCTAGCGCCCCCTACTTTGAAGACCACTGACTCAGGACATATTTTCAAATTTCATTTTCAGCCTTCAACCCCGGTGCATTGCAAAACAGTCACTTCCATCACCTGTCGGCTGGTGTCCCAGTGACAGCATCTGTATCTTCCAAGTGGTGAACTCGGTGACGCTGCCCTCTACCTGTCCCCTGACGTACTTCAAGCTCTGAGTGATGGCTGGCTGGACGTTCGTGTTAGAGGAACAGACAGCAGGGTTGAAGAGCTGTTCCACGCCGGGCATCTGAGCAGCCACGTCCTTCAGCTGGTCGAAGCTTGAACAGCACATCGCAAAGTGGTTCCTGTGATATAAAAAAGTTAGCGAATTAGCCTGGACTGTTTGATATATTTCACACAAACAAATATTTATTTCTTGCGTTTTACCATGTGTGCAGCGCTCTGTCACAGCTCTGCCGGGCCGCAGCGTCCAGCTCCGACTTGGCGCTCTCACTTTGCTCGAGCATCGAAGTCACGCGTTGGTGGATCTGACACCAGGTGGCGTCTTCCCTCCTCATCAGACAGCCGGCAGGCTGGCGGTGCGCGGCCAGTGGGGACGGACAACTCAGGGTGTGCTGCCCGCAACTGCTTTTCTCTTCTTTCTGCTGCGGGTCCTCGGGACAGCACTGCAGCGTCCAGCTGAGCTGCTGCAACAGAGCGGTGCACTGGGCAGCCAAAGCCTGCCCTCTAGTGACCCAGCTGTGTAGAGAATCCTGAGGTGGGAAGGCACATCCTGAAGCCACGTCTTCACTCTGGCCCTGGAAACGCTCCTTGATGTCCATCATGCTGTTTGTTAGCCTCCTGAACGTGGCGGCAAAAAAAACAGACTTTTTTTTTTTACCGTAATTTATGGACTATAAGCTACTACTTTTTTTTCCCCACACCTTTTAAACCCTCAGGCTTAAACAATGATATGGCTAATTTTTTTCATTTTTGCGGACAAGCACAAAGTGAAGGGAGTTAGCTTCGGAGCTAATGTTAGCTTCAGCCCTGGAGCAGATCACTAAGGCTCCCCTTTGCATTCCAACTACGGTCGGGGAAAGAGCTAACGTGTAACCGGCCGTGTTACAGTCACTGTTCGGAAAAAAAAGGATTTACTTAATTAAAAGTGAAAAAAATATATTTCTGTGTAAATATCCCATGTTGATGCGGCCTTTATATGTACATTTTTTTTTAATTTTTAAATTTAGAGGGCGCGTCTTATATTCAGGTGCGCTCAATAGTCCGGAAATTAGAATAATTAGCAGCAGGTTTAAACGCCTCTGTGAAACAGAGAGCTTTGAATATATCTAGAACAGACTGACCTGAGATGGACCCAGTGCCGAGTGAGCACGGCCAGCCGTCGTCGTTGTCTGAGCAGCAGCTTGAACATGTGAGCAGAGAAGCCTCTGCAGCGCTCAATGGCGCCCAGACCCAACTCCTACAACCAACCAATCACAGGACAGTCAGACTTGATACACAAACAATACTCAACGCGAGAGTTGTAAATGCTATTCGACGGCGTGACGATACATTTCTTTAAAAAAAAAAAAAAAACGAGAATAGAGTCTCACCTTGGTTGGGTGCTGCAGGGCTGTCTGCAGGACTGTTTTCCTGGCCCAGGAACGGTAGAAGTACTTTTGACATCCGTCCCATGCTGCTAACAGCTCCGTGAACAACCTTCAACATCAAGAACAACTAATAAGAAAAAAGGCTACAGAATGTTTACAACCTACTTGACAGGTTTTCATTACAGAAAATATTGATATTGATCGAAAATTTTTGCGATATTTCATTTACCAATATTGTACTGATATTCTACATTTAATTTGATGCAGATTTATTTTTTCTTCTTGTATTTAAAGTTGATTGTACAAGGAGTGCATATATTTGCTAGTATTTCAGACAATCTATTTTTTTTTATTTATGCACAAAATCCTGCAATTGCTTTCACTGAACTGGGATAAATGACATGTAAAAGTCATGCATAAAGGCTAAAATGCTAAAATCCTTTAAGCATTTTCTACACCATCTATTGGGGAAATGTGGGTATTGCAGGGAAAAGGCAAAAGTATAATGATAATATAAATAAATTATATAATTTGGAAAGGTTTGGCGGGCCGGATAAAAAAGCTGAACGGGCCACATCCGGCCCCCGGGCCTTAGTTTGCCCATGCCTGCTGTAGTAATTACAGAGCCACGGTATATCTCAACATATCGTATCGTATGCCAGATTCTTGCCAATACACAGCTCTATCATTAGGCCTAGCCCAGGCATGGGCAAACTAAGGCCCGGGGGCCGGATGCGGCCAGCTTAGCTTTTTAATTCGACCCGCCAAACTTTTCCAAATTATATAATTTATTTATATTATCCTTATACTTCTGCCTTTTCCCTGCAATACCTGTTTCCCCTATAGATGGCGTAGAAAATTTTAAAAGCATTTTAGCCTTTACGCATGACTTTTACACGTCATTTATCTTAGTTCGAACGAACGCGCCATCTATCTGCTCCTGACCCGGCAATTTTAAGACGATTGTGGCCTGCGGTCTCAAGTCGAGTTTCTTGCAATTCAGCATTACGCATTTCTGAAACTGAAAGGAAGTTAATATGAAAGGAAGATTTACGTCGTCTCATTCTGCTCCCGGCCGCTGACACCAGACAGAGCGGTGCTCATCTCCAGCGGGTCCATGCAGAGGGTTTTCACCGGGTCAGCCGTGCGATTCCAGGTCAAGCCTTTGCGGTACGACAGACCTAAGGAAACACAGGTTGCGGAGAAAACCGGAGGTTAAAAACTTTTATTAGACGGAGTACAAGCGTCGCGTAACGGAACTCACCGATGTCTGAGAGCATCTTGAAGAGGTCAGACAGAGCTCGCTGCTTCTGCTGCAGGATGTGCTTGACCTCGGCTTTTTGTTTGTCTTTCTCCGCCGACATGTCGATGTTGAGGTTTTGGAGGTCTCGCAGGTTACTGATCACTTCGCCTTAACAGGAAGACGTGACGTAGAAAGGTGTTATTGATCAACAAATAAAAATAAATTCATGTGATATTCACACATTTACCTGTGAAGCAGTCCAGGTCTTCAGCCAGTTCAGGTACAGGGTGTTTCTTCAGGTACTGACCACACATTTTCTTCATCTTTCTGGTGAGGACGGGGAGGCGTCCCTGCAATGACGATGGACTCGCCTCTTCCTCCAGACACTCGTTCTGAAACACAAAAGGTTTGGCTGACTTTCTGAATCTTTATTTGAAATTAGAAAATCAATTTATTAAAGTTTTTTTCCGCAGCCTACCTGCAGATCTCTGTCCCTCCCTGGTAGGGCGCTCTTTAGAGCCCGGTGAACTCGATGCACGGGGGTTTCTTCTTCCGCGTTTGTGTCGACAGTGTCGAAACTTGCACTACTACCCTGTTCTACCAGAGAGGGAGCACTTGGACCACTCAGGACCTCCTCGAACTTCTTGATGAACTTGAACAGCGTCCTGGGAGAAGAAGACGCATCATTAAGATGGTGTTTTATTCATGAATTAATAAGATTTAATTTTTAAAAAATATTAAAAAGTTAAGGGTTAAAAATGTAGCATTAGCACACACACACTTATACATGGTTATAATTTAATTTTTATTTTTGTTAATTTTGTAAATAAAAAATATGCGAGTAAGAAGAACAGGTCGTCCTTTTACTGGAAGTGGGAAATTTATAGGCATTTTTTGTTGGTCTACATGCCAATATGTCCATGGGTAATGCACTAAATCTGAATGTAGTGAAACGTAATGTTGTAGCAGATCACTCTTTGATTGCAAACCAAGTGTAAAATTAAATTAAAAAAACAATTTAATTGTGTAAATCTGAAAGACACTGAAGCGTTTTTTTGAAAGGTTTCAATGCTGGAAAAACACTTGTGTCTCACCTGTGAGTTTTCTCCACTGACAATGCTGGAAAAACATTTCTGTCTCACCTGTGAGTTTTCTCCACTGACTGTTTGATGGACCAGAAACTGACATCGTTCCATTTGGAGATCTTCACAAAGTCCTGAGGAAAACAGTTCACATGACGGCATCGTCAATATTTAAGGCACATTTAAACGCATCCAAGGAAGAAGTAACATCAAGGTGTAGGCACATTTAAACGCATCCAAGGAAGAAGAACAAAATTTGGTTTCCAAACCAGAATGCGTTAAAAAAATATATAATTACCTTGAGCTCCTTCTCTATGGGCTGTCTGAGTTGACAGATTTTGGTGTGAATGCCGTCTAAGAACTGACTGTAGTATTTGTGCAGGTTCCACAGAAGACTGGACAAAGACCCTGGAGGGAAATGCAGCAGATTTTTTTTTTTTCAGGTTCACGCACCAGAGGTCGAACACATGGCGTAGATTAACCAGACAGTCAAACAGTGATTAACATTGACAGTTGTTCATTTAACTATGCCAGTAGTAATGGCCGACCTTGTCCAGGCTGGTTGGGGACGAGAAGCAGGTGGCAGTGGAAGCTCAACAGCATGGACAGACGGGTGTGGAACTCGCCCAGGGTGGATCCCTCCATGAAGGCCTGCAAAGTGGAGGATACGGAGGCCAGGGTGAGGCGCTCTGTCTCCTCATCTGACCAAACGGTAACAAAGAAAAGGAAAATTAGTCACAGGTGTTAGGGGTCATTCCTGGACAGAGGCCGCTAAAAATGGCCGCTAGGGCCCCGTCACTGCCCCGGTATTTTAAAATTGTCATCGCTACCTTTGTCAGGCTCCGACTTCTGCTCTTCGAGGTACCTCTCTACCAGTTGGTAGATAGAAAACCAGTGTTTGGTTGATTTCTCCGTGTGACGTTTGATGGCGTTATCCAGGCTGCTTGACCAACAGCTACCACACGAGGGCGACAGAGAAAGGTGTTTTGAATTGTAACCAAGGAAACGCAGAAGATAACGCGCAAGATCGGATTTTGTCTTACCTCAACTCCAGTTTGCGCCATTGGATTATCAGTTGCGTGACTTGTTCCAGTTCCTTCCGCAGCGAGACTGAGCGGCTGGCATTGTTCTCCCAGTCCTGACGGAGAAAAAAAAAATAAAATGAAAATTATTTAATCATGCAACTGTTTCACAAATAACACCAGGGTAAAGTTACTAAATTCTCTACTATCTAAAAGTGTAAAAGAGCAAAACCACATACCTGTGCTTTACTGAGAAGAATCTCCAGACCATTGAGAAACTTGGCTAGCGGACTAGCCAGACTGAACGCCCTGATCCTCTCCATGACCACCGTCAGCTGAAAAAGAATTTAGTGGCAACATCAGATATCGCATACATTAACATCAGATATTAAAAAAAATGTCAGAGACAGAAATGAAAGAAAATGAAATGAAAAAATAAAAGCATCACTTCGGAAGCTTTTACAGCATAATTTGTATGCACACGATCCCAAGTAGTTAACCCTGTCCACCATTCAACCCCGTCAGTACTTTTGCAGCGTCACCTTTGTGCCAAAGTCACTTTAATATTCACACATTTATTTTAAATATTTTGTTTTCACTGAGCCTGATTCACTTCCTCTGTGGTGCAGCCACGTTTGCGGGATCCCTACTCCTGCTAAAGATTAGCATATGCAAATGTTATTGCCCTTTTAGCCTGCTGTCTGACCTCAACCACCCTCACGTACTTTTTGGCCACACCGCGAGGCCGTACCGCCAAACTCATATCATAAGCCTCATTTTTTTTTTTATTTCCAACGCTCAAACTTTTGTAAAATAGGAATTCAGGAGGTCGATGTATTGACCTTAGATGTGGTAACTCACCTGTACGAGTGCAGGGTGATCGGGCCAGTCCTCCAGTCTCTGCTTAACCGCGACACCCAGCTGCTCGAGGACAGGAAGGCAGAGTCTGGCCTCCACCAGATTGGGATGCTGGTAGAAGTCATAGGAACCTTCCGGGTTGACGAGAAGACCATCGTTACCCCCCGAGCCTTGCACCGTGTTCTGAAGGAGGGCAGAAAGCAGCAGGTCATAAGCCGCATTTTTTTTGATTTCCAACGCTCACACTTTTGTAAAATAGGAATTCACGAGGTCGATGTATTGACCTTAAATGTAGTAACTCACCTGTACGAGTGCAGGGTGATCGGGCCAGTCCTCCAGTCTGTGCTTAACCGCGACACCCAGCTGCTCGAGGACAGGAAGGCAGAGTCTGGCCTCCACCAGATTGGGATGCTGGTAGAAGTCATAGGAACCTTCCGGGTTGACGAGAAGACCATCGTTACCCCCCGAGCCTTGCACCGTGTTCTGAAGGAGGGCAGAAAGCAGCAGTCCACTGCCTGTCAGCTGCTGGTCTAACTCAGCATCTAAAGGGAAACCCCCAAAGGAAGTCAGAATTAGGTTAAAAAAAACAAACAAAAACGAACGCACCTCTGATGCTCTGCTAAGTCGTCCCAAACAATTACTCATACAAAGATACCAACCAATCAGATGATAGAAGTGTGACATCACAGGGCCAGCAATTTGGTAGGAGGAGATCATGGCTTTGATCGATTCTTTGCCGTGACTTGCTGTCACTTTGTTGTGGTACCACAGCGATCTGGCGTATCCCAGACACAGGCACTGATGCACTTGAACCAATGTGTTCATAGCAGACGCGGACAGGAAACCACTCTCAACGGACTCGTGGACTTTGTTCTGTTCCTCTTCCCCCGACCCTGAGTCTGAGGGACCTTCCAGGGTTGGCTGCGTCACGATGTCTGCGAAATCCTGAACAAAGGCATTGACATAGGCAATAGTCAGTGACTGGTGATAGTTTGGAATTGGAATGGAATTGAAATTCATTTCCCCAAACGATCAAATATTTGCCATTTTATCTCAGTGAACATTTTTGAAGATAAATCGTTCGCATCAATTGCACATTAAGGTGTCAAGAAAACCAAGACATCAATGGGTCCACGTGCACTACCCAAGTGCGAAAAGTGACTTTCTAAGCCAACTGAAGCAACATTCATTTTCTTACAGTACTAATGCATGGTGTTGACAAATGTGAGGAGGACATAACAATAAATAAATTAGCAATGTCCGATATTAACTTTTTGTCGATATCCGACATGGTCCATACACTTAATTTCTGATTCCGATATCAACCGATACCGATATGCGCAGTGGTGAGCTGCATCACAATGACAATAATTCACATTCACTTTCACTTAAAAACTATTTTTAGGTCACATTATCTGGGCGAAACCCAGAAATTGTGTTATCGGGTTTTCATTATATCAGAGGAAAATCCGATATTACATAATTATGCTAACATCGGCCAAAAATATCAGTTGTCCGCTATTATCGTACATCCCTAAATTAAATTAAACAAACTACTGTGATGGATATCCATCTCTAACTATCTTGACTAGTTAGCAGGATCTCAAAGTGTGATTCTAAAAAGAATACCTTGTTAAAGTCAGGGAACTGCCTCCTGAAGTCCTGCTCCTCCTGTTGCTCTTCGCTCAGGCCTGTACCGTGAAGTTGACTTCGGTTGCGGTACAGACTGGCCTCCATCTGCTCTCGCTCTCTCCTCCGTCTCTCCTGTTCATCCCACTCATTCACCAGAGCCTGAGAAGAATTGTGATACAGTTAGCATATCAGTAATACGCATATGTATTACATATGAATGATCTACAATATATAGTCATTGTTACACCCTACGGCTGTAACAATGAGGCGGCTAATTTATGGATTTTTTTCGGGCTAGCAAAGTTGATACCGCCAGCGATCAATGGCTTTTCTGTGAAGTGAAGGGAGTTAGCCCCAGAGCTAATGTTAGCTTCGGCCCTGGGGCAGATCACTAAGTCTCCCCATTCTCCCGACGAAGCAGGAAAGAGCTAACGTGTAACTAGCCGTGTTACAGGAACTTCTCGGAATTTTTTTTTATTCAATTAAAAGTAAAAAAAAAATATTTCTGTGTAAATATCCCATGTTACAACAGAGACATATGCAGGTTAATTTTTTTTTTTTTTTTTTCGGACACCTGCGGCTTAAATTATTTTTTTCTTTTTAAATTCAGTGGGTGCGACTTATATTCAGGTGCGCTCAATAGTCCGGAAATTACGCTATTTAAAAATTACATATAACATTCCGCTATTTAAATGGTACCATCAAACAGACTAGAAATGCAGCTCTGACCTGACAGATGTGCCTGAAGAGGTTCAGTGCCTCCTGACTAAACTCTCCAGTGGACAGAACATGGCACTGCACGTACAGCAGAGCATTCAGCAGCAGTGTGGAGGACTGGGGGATCACGTGGTCAGGGTCCTGCTGGGGCAGAAGCTTTACCAAGCAGCGGAGAACATCCACGCATGCTGTCGAGCACAGGAAATCCGCCCGGGCCAGGTGAGAGGGCAGGCTGGGGGTCATGGAGGGAAAGGCCAGCAGGCAGGACACCAATTTGTGCAGACCTGGCACAGGCGTTATTGAGGCAGCCACCTGGGAGGCCAACAGCCTCATTCCGTGGCAGAGCTGGAGGATGCCGGTTCGCACCGGGCCGACCACATCTGGGTACAAGGGATAGTCCTCCAGCAGCCTCTGGGAGAAATGCTGTTGGGACTTTTGCCACACGGCCTCCTCCTTGAGCAGACTCTGAACGAATGACTTGGCTTTTGGAGAGGAGCCTTGAATGGTTCGGAGCAGGTGGGAGAGCAGGTCCTGGACTCGAGATGCTTGGCCGATGCTGCAGAGGTAGTGCTGAAGGTCCTGGAAGAGTCGGCCATACTGAGACTCGTGAGGGCGGCACGCCTGCTTTCTGGAGAGCTCCGCTATTTGTTCCTTCATCTGCTGCATACGGATCCACAGGTATCTACGACGGCAGGTGCTACCTTGGTTAGAATTCTTGTCTTAAAACACGCAGTATGCAGTGTTCGACAGTTTTAGGTGTGTGTTAACGTCTTATTGACAACTTCTTTATCGCAACCTTTCTCATTTACTCAAGTATTTAAATTGAAACATTGTTGCTTTAATACATGTTTGATTACCATCATGATGTGAGTGATCCACAACTAACGCTGGTATTCAGATAGATAGACAGGTAGATAGAGAGAGAGAGAAAGAGAGAGAGAGAGAGAGAGCTAGAGAGATAGATAAACAGAGAGAGAGAGAGACAGATATCGATAGATAGAGCGATATATAGACAGAGAGAGAGAGCGTTAGATAGAGAGATAGAGAGAGAGATAGCGAGATAGATAAAGAGAGTGAGAGAGAGGGAGAAAGGGATAAATAGAGCGATAGATAGCGATAGATAGAGCGATATATAAACATATATAGAGAGAGTGTTAGATAGAGAGAGAGAGCGATAGAGAGATAGATAAAGAGAGATAAATGGAGAGATAGATAAAGAGAGATAGAGATCGATAGATAGAGCAATATATAGATAGAGAGATAGAAATAGATAGAGAGAGGGAGAAATGGAGAGATAGATAAAAGAGATAGAGATCGATAGATAGAGCAATATATAGATAGAGAGATAGAAATAGAGAGAGAGAGTGAGAGATAGATGATAGATGGATGGATGGATGGATGAGCGATAGATAGATAGACAGATAGATAGACAGATAGATAGACAGATAGATAGATAGATAGATAGATAGATAGATAGATGGCGGGTGGGTGGATTAAAAGTTTGTGTACATTTGTACATTTGTGTACATTATATAAAATTGGGTAATCAAAATATTTCCTAGTGACTTCTTTTACCGGATTCGTGGATGCTGGAAGCCGTCAGTGGTGCTGCTCTCCTCCAGCTTGGCTCCAGTCATCAGCTGAGAGGCTAGGCTGCGAGCTCTCCACTCCTCCTGCAGCAGAGCCAGCTGGAGGAAACACAGAAAAGTGACACGGTGTCAGCCACAATTACAGGAAGCATCACCCGATGTGGCCCCCATAATTTTATTTTTATTTTTTCAAAGCACAGCAGAACGAGCAAATACATCAGACGGAAAAATCGCAACAGCAATCGATGTGTTGTCTGACCTCCTGCTGGGCGTAGCTCATTTTGTAGGCTCTCTTCACAGCTGGGTCAAAGATAGTCTGCGGTGTCCACACTTTGATTTGCAGCAGGCCCATGTTGACCCAGAACACTCCGGAACAGACGAGCGATTTGGAGCCTTGGATCTTGTTTTGCACGTACTGCTGCAGGCAGGCGATGCAGATCTCCACCAGGTTGTCTGGGAGCAGATTGGACGGAAGGAACTCTCTGAAGATGGTCTGGATCTCCTGGGCCGCTATTAACGGGTCAGAGTCCTCCACCAGACTCTCGCAGCTCTCCATGTAGCCCTCCTGCAGGCTTACAGGAAGCAGGTCGGCCATGCTCTGAAGCTGGCGACGGAGGACTGCCCCCTGGAGTCTGAAGTCAGTTGCCCTGAATAAAAAAAGAAAAGGGGATAACGTGATGGAGCAAAGGCTGAGGTCAAACTTCGGGATTTAGACTCCTGAGAATAACACACGTCTGACAAGTCTTGTCATAATAGCATATTATTAAACAAAAAAATAAGCAATGAGGTTCAAATCCCTATTTTAATATTTTACGGGTAAATTGTTCATCGTATACAGTATTACCTCAAGATACGAGCGTCCCGACATACGAGTATTCCGAGATACAAGCAAGATTTCGAGCAAATGTTTGCTTTGAGATACGAGCACGCTAACAGACGCCGACGCTAAGTAGCCGAGCACTAGGAGCAGCCCACACCGCCTTCACGTACGCATCTCCCGCGAGTCTTCCGAATTGTGTTTGCGTTATCTACGTGATTTTCTCTCTATTTTGTAGATTATTCTTCATAATAGTGATGAGTCCTAAGAGAGTGAGTGGTAAGGATGGTAGTGAGAAGAAGAAACGCACGATGACCATGGCAATAAAGCATGAAATTGTCGATAAATATGAGCGTGGTGCCCGCTAAAGAAAGAATACAAATTGAAAAAATGAAAAAAAAAATTTTTAAAAATATGTAAGCTAAGTTAAGTTAATTCTAAGTTTATGTAAGATATGTAGTAAGGTATGGTACAGAATCAAGTGTCTACGTGTGGGAAAGATACGAGCGTCCCGACAAACGAGTATTTCGAAATACGAGCAAGATTTCGAGCAAATGTTTGCTTTGAGATACGAGTAAAGATTTGAGATACGAGCACGCTAACAGACGCCGACGCTAAGTGGCCGAGCACTAGGAGCAGCCCACACCGCCTTCACGTACGCATCTCCCGCGAGTCTTCCGAATTGTGTTTGCGTTATCTACGTGATTTTCTCTCTATTTTGTAGATTATTCTTCATAATAGTGATGAGTCCTAAGAGAGTGAGTGGTAAGGATGGTAGTGAGAAGAAGAAACGCACGATGACCATGGCAATAAAGCATGAAATTGTCGATAAATATGAGCGTGGTGCCCGCTAAAGAAAGAATACAAATTGAAAAAATGAAAAAAAAAATTTTTAAAAATATGTAAGCTAAGTTAAGTTAATTCTAAGTTTATGTAAGATATGTAGTAAGGTATGGTACAGAATCAAGTGTCTACGTGTGGGGCCAACTCTCTTCCCTTCCTCCCTCCCTTATCCTCCTCCACACATGCCGCCACTAGCCGCT